GCCGCTTCTCCTGCCGGCCGGCACCCGGGAGAGCTCCGCGCCTGCCCGCTCAGCCCTTTGAGGGGCGCCTCCTTCCTCCCCAAAGCCGTCCGGGACCCCCACGAGCTGGAGGAGGAGGAGGAGGAGAAGTCCGGCCGCGCTGCGAGGCAAGAGCGATGCTGCGCCGGCCGCCGCGGCGCGAGAGAGAGCCGAGGGAAACTTTTCTCCCCGTCCGGCCGCCAGCCAGGCTTAAAGCCGCCCCAGCCTCGGGGCTCCTCCTGATTGGCCCTCCCCGGCGCCTATCGGAGCGCGCGCGCCCGGGCCGAGCCGAGCGGGGCGAAGGAGGGGGGGAGAGAGGCGCGGGAGCGCGCGCGGCCCCCCTGGAACCGAAGGAGAGGGCGAGAAGCCGCCGCGGCAGCGACAAGCAAGCAGGCAGGCAGGCGGCTCCCGGGGAGGGGGGGCGCGCGGCGGGTGCGTGCCCCGCTGGAGATCCGGACTGGCTGGACGTCGGGAGAAAAAAGGCGAAAGAGAAAAAGAGAGAGAGGCGTTTTCTTTCTCTTCTTCCTTCCTTCCCTCCCTTTCCACCCCCCCCAGGGGAGACACGTCAGAATCCTGCAAGAGGAGCCGGGTCTAAAAAAGAGGATGATGATAATAATAAACCACCCACGGCAGCCTGTCAGACAACCGCCCCAGTCTTGCCTCCCGTCGCCCCCACCACCACCACCACCCTTTCTCTCGCTCCCCCTCCCCCGCTCGCCAATTTCCCCTCCGCTCCTCTTTTTCAGACCTGCTCATTCCCCGCGAGTTCGTATTTCATTACCTTAATGTTGAGAATGAATAAATGATGCTCCAGATGAATAGCTTGTGGCGGGCGGGAGATAATTAAAGGAGCGTCGTAACTTTTCTGCTAAGAGCACGGGAGGCCTTGAAGGGCGTTCTCTCTCTCTCTCTCTCTCTCTCTCCTTCACAACAACAACAGCAACACAACATCTGGAACAACAACACCATTCTTCGCCATTCTCATTCCCAACTTGCCCCCAGGAGGCCAACAGGGCAATCCTACTATGCATATCAACTCACAAGTCAGTCCCAACCAATGGAATTTACTCTCCAGGAAGGCTGTATATTTTTATTTATCTTCTCCTGGCCTAAGCACATTATCAGTCCAGTATGGATTTTGAAATGTGTATAGAACTGATGCCCTTTGTTGGAAGGGCAAGTGTGTCTGGGCTGGAGGGAGGTGGTGGATTTAAAAATCCAAATTCCTGCCAGCTGGCATTCTTCATCAGCATTGTATTGCACCTCCCATAACTGAGGATGGCTCTGGGGAAGGCCTGCCCCTAATATAAATCCTTTCCAATATACAGTATAAGGTGATAGAAATGGTGCCTTATGTTAACAGGTATCAACGAAAGGTCCAAAAAGTCATTTTCCTCTTTTTGTTTTTATTCTACATGAAGTTGTTTAGTCATGTCTGACTCTTCGTGACCCCATGGACCAGAGTACGCCAGGCCCTCCTGTCTTCCACTGCCTCCCAGAGTTGGGTCAAATTCATGTTGGTTGCTTCGGTGACACCGTCCAACCATCTCGTCCTCTGCTTCAGGATTTGTCCTTCCAGTGAGCATTCAGGGTTGATTTCCTTCAAAATGGATAGGTTTGTCCTCTTTGCAGTCCAGTCCAAAAAGTTATTTTCCTCTTTTTATTTTTATTCTACATGAAGTGGCCCTGTTTAAATCAAGGCACCTGTCCTGAACCAGGGCTATGGGACTGAAGTGCTTCTTGCAAAGGCCTCCATGGGATGACCTGGGGGGTGGGTGGGTTGTGTTTCTCCAGCCTTGAAACCAGATCTCTCCCTGCACCCACCCCCCAAAACACAAACACAGAGCCCTCTTTCTCTTCCATCCAGCTGGAAGTCAGCCTCATTATATTGTGTGCATGCTTGCTTGGTTGTATGGCCTAACATGCATAACACTTTGGGACATGAAGCTCCAGTAGCTTAGTGAGGTGTACTTTCAGTAAGCGTGCCTAAAATTAGGTTTCCCAAGCAGGTGGATGGTGACTCAAAACTCACATCTGAATGAGATTCTAAATGCGGGGGTGCACGAGTGGGCAACAAATCTATAGGTTTAAAAGGGCAATCCTAGACACGTGTGTCGTTGTTTAGTCGGTGTCCGACTCCGTGAGCACTCAGGGTTCGTGAGCACTTCAGAACGGATAGATTTGATCTCCTTGCAGTTCAGGGGACTCTCAAGCGTCTCCTCCAGCACCACAATTCAAAAGCATCAATACTTCCGCCGTCAGCCTTGTTTATGTAGGGAGAACCAAACCCCATTGAGTTCAATGGAACATCGCCCTCAGGGTGGACTTCACTTTGAGGAACAGCACCCTATAAATCTGACAGGCTGAAGAGGAATTCTCGCGGAGGGCATGATTTTAATCTCTCGCCTCCACCTGAGTTAAGCCGCATCGCGGCAGGAACGCTAATCTCCATTTTGGACGCCTAATTGGAAAAAAAAAAGACGGGGAGGGGAAGCCATAATGGGAAGAAAGAGTGTTTCGCGGCGTAAGGAAAACAATTCCCGCTTCTCCAAACAAAGGTAATCTATTGTCGGTAGCAGGGTCCGAGATAAGGACAATGAGGGCGAGATAAGCCAAGCCCGGCCAGCAAACATCGCAGAAAGGAAGCGCCTTTATGGGCCGTTTTTATCTTTCAGGAGATAAGTGGCCGGGAGCCTCCCGGCTTTGGAGAGAAGGTGCGCGCCCTGGACCGCATCCCCGGATCAGAGGCGAGTTCTCGGAGGGATGGAAAGGTTTGCGTTTCTAGGAGGATAATCATCCCAGGAGATCAAACCCGCGAAAGCTGTAAAGGAGCCCTGCCGTGCTTTTCATCCTTAAGAAGGCTGAGCGAGGGTTCCTAGGTTTGGAAAAGTCAAAAAGAGAACTTCTTCCCATGTACGGAAACAATTCGTCCCACTGAAATGGGGCTGAAATCATGCTGGGGGAAAACGAGCGTGATTTCAGCCCCTTACCACCTAAGTGAACTCACCTCTGTGTGCACTCGATCCATTTATTGGGGTACAAGCCCTGACGGAGTTCAGAGGGATTTCTTTCCAACAAGTACAGTACTTCAAAAGATTTGTACAGCGCTTTGGACTTAACTCAAAGCGCTTTTTATGCCCGACCACGGACGATGGCGGGGAGGCTAGAGATACTGAAAAAAAAGACTCCCTCTATTCTAGTGCAAGTTTTAACTATTATTCGGAGGTAGCCAAACCACCCCAGGGAAGTGTGTGTATAGGATCGCACCCCAGCTCCTGCGCAGATATCGCCGGTTGCAGGGTATTACTTCCAGTTGGCTTGAAATCCAGGTTGTATGACAGGGTGAGGAAGGAGTGGTCTTCCAGGTGTGCCAGTTATGCTGGTCGTTGGCTCATGGGAACTGGAGTCTGATCTCCAGAACCCCAGTATACCCAGCGCTGCTGAGCTGCGGTATTTATTTATTAGCTAGCTATAATTAGATCCGGCTTTTCCTCTAAAGTGCTCAAGGGCCTTTTCCTCTGCACTCTATCCCCACAATCACCCTGTAAGGTGGGTCAGATTGAGGCAGTATGACTGACCTACGGTCACTGGCGGAGTGGGGATTTGAACCCACGTCTCCCTAATCTAGCGCTCTGCTTTGTGAACCTCATCGGGGGCTCCCCGCCACCCACGTTTCCAAGGAGGGTTTCAAGGAGCCCTTGAGGACTTAATTTGCACAACAGGCCTATCCAATACTGTAATTTAGACTGAGAGATAATGATGTTCCCTTTCATAGTTCGGTCCGGATTTGAATCCACATCTTGGTCTGATGCGCCAACTGCAATAGTATGGTTGATGTGTATTTCTTGTTATCAGAACCTGCTTAAAACATCATTCCTCTCCTTCTGTTACCGATTTATAGCGAAACTAAAAGGACTTCCAAGTTTGTGAGAGATTTATAGAGTGGTTTCACAAATTCCTTGACCGTTACTCCATCCACTAGGTACACCTTTTCTCCCACCATCAGTTAAAACCTAGAAAGAATTTGAATCAGGGGGGAGGCCAGTTGTGTTTTTTGGACTGCAGTTCCCGGAATTCCGCAGGCAGCAGAGCAGAATTTTGGGAGTTGTAGTTCACAGACACAAACTCGCCCACCTCTGGTGTGCACCTCTACTCACGCGTTTCTTTGGAGATGTGTTTTCGCCCATAAACCTTTACAGCGGATACAAAACACATGTGTATATTTGGGGAGCGTGTGTGGATGAATGAAACGGTCTTCCCCTCCCATACCAAGGAGGCAGGGAAGGGCCGGCCCTACCGCCAGGCGTGAAGAAGCAACGGCCTCGGTGCCTGGTTATTACTCCTGGACTCTCCAGCTGCCCGCCTCCCAGTGGTGGACGGAGCTGCGGATGCCATCCGAACCGTTCCGAACTTCCCTGCTCCATCATTTGTCTTGCGGAACCCACTACCACCCAATAGACCGGGAGAGGGAAAACGTTTGGGCTCTTTGCCTCGGGCTCCTAAAGGTCTCTCGCCTGGCCCTTTTCTTGAATGCTTGTTGTTGTTTAGTGGTTAAGTCGT